GCCAGAGGAAACAGAGGAGAATCCTGCAGCTGGAAAATAAATTAAAGCAACATGTAAACATAGTACAGCTCAGTTTAGTTTGTACTACATACTGTGTAGAATTCATGTGTAGTACAGAACTAGGACATGACGCTGATTATTACCTATCAGGTGCAGAGCTGGGGGCGCAGTCACCGGGTTGCGGACGGAAGAACTCAGCCATGTTGTCAAGGAGACGAGAGAAACCGCGGTCGAGACAAGCGCTGAGGACAGTGGTGAAATCTGGGCTGCGGTCAGAAATACGCACATTAGGATCCCGAAACACAAGTTCACAGATGGACACAGAGACAAAGGTGTGGCGTCTACCTGTCCAGCATGTCTCTGGTCTCGTTTAACAGTTTGATGGTCATAACATCATTTTCTGTCAGCCCACACGCCTGCAGAGAAGAGAGGATTTGTTACACACTCGCAGCAGTTTTTGTACATACTGCTGTTCTCTGTGTGTAGCAACCTGGTCAGCGAGGGCGTTCTCGTCGTCAGCCAGCATGTACCAGGACAGCGGGCGCCCCGAACCAGCCTCCACCTCAGCTCGGATCCAACTCAGCTGCTGCTCACACTCCAGCAGGGACAGACTCTGCTTCAGAGACAGCCTGGAGATGTGCACACAGTGTGGATGTCAATAAAACACAAGCAGCATTTGTCTGGATGTAAGGATAATGAAACTAACGCTCAGGTTCAGACGCTCACCCTCCTAGAGAGTTCTGCACTGCTTTCTTCACCACTGTCATCAACTCTGTCAGACCTGAACAGAGACACAAAGAGAAGCCGGTTCTGAATTCTGAACACTGTACTGAGGGACTAACGTAAAGAAGCATGAACAGTGACGTGATCACAGTGGGCTTCTGAATCCTACCATCTCCAAGTAGATGCTGGATACTAGACAGGTACTGATGCTGGACGTCTGGGGGAGTCTGAGCAGTCTGGAAGAAGACATGTACGTAAATAACATCATGAAATACTTGCTGTTACACTTGCTGTGCTCTCAAAAGATTTGCCTTTATGTTTTACTACTTTTCCCCCCAAATACAGCTGTATATCAAATCCTCTGGATAAGGGCAAGTGAGAGTCAAACTCCACTACATGAAGGAGTTTTAAACAAAGTGGAGGTATTCATCTTCCCAGTTCCCTATGAAACAAACTGCAGGCATACATAGCAGTATGTAGTACAGCAGATACATCAGAAAACAAATGCTGAGTTGCAGCAGTGTAACAGGAACCATCATGTCACAAACAACAATGGAAGCATTTCAACAAATAACTGGATAGAAATTGTGCCAACAACAGAAACCAGCAGGTCACACTGTTGTCTTACAGGTATGTATGTGAAATGATCTGAAACACTCATCACGTTTCTCACCATCCCGTTCTTTCCCACAAAGTTGTCTAGGTACAAGTAACCTCCAATGATGTTCAGCTGGACTCTCAGCAGAACCACCAGCATGCAGGTGCTGTACACTGCGACAATGGTTCGGGTGAAACCTGTGTAAAACAAATGTGTCCGATCAGATTCTGTTTTTACTTGAGTATTAACTTTAGACAATGTACAGGATGCTTCAGTGATGTCTGCTGTGTAGACCAGAACTTACTGATGATCTTTAAATCTTCCCAGATCTCCAGCTTGTTTGCTGGCCTGAGAGACAATGTTAAAGAAGAAAAAAGCATCATTGGTTTGTTTTACATCATCAAGACTGCAGGTAACATTGTCAACAGGTTTTACTCCGCTAGGAATAGTAATGGAATACCTCTACATAGATGTTTAGTACAATGAAAACATCTAAAAATGGTTGACAAATTTGCATATTTGTATAAAATAATTAATATAAAAACAAAACTGAGTTTGCATGTTCTCCCCGTGCTTGCATGGGTTCTCTCCGGGTATTCCGGCTTCCTCCCACAGTCCAAAGACATGCAGCTTAGGTTGATTGGTGTCTCTAAATTGCCCATAGGAGTGCGTGTGTGTGGTTGTTCGTCTATGTGTTAGCCCTGCGATGGATTGGTTACCTGTCCAGGGTGTACCCCGCCTTCGCCCGATTGCCGGCCGGGAACCTAATCTATCTTAACTTTAAACATATAAGAATGTGTAGAACTGTGTACGTAAGTGGATTAGAAGTTTGAATCCATTGATTCTAGCAGTGAAAAGTGCTTCTTCTCACTTGGTCTTGAGTAGTGCAGTGAGACTTTCCGAGCTGAGCTGCTTGATGATGGCTTCTCTCAGAGGGGGCAGCATGGACAGCACTGCGAGACACACACACACACACACACACACACACACAGTACAGTAATCAAATCAAAAGTGTTTAGTGCTGTTGGGCAAAGAATAACTCATAATTTGACATTTTTAGGGCCAATCCTGATAATACAAAACCCCAAGTAGTGCACACATTTATTTCTAGTTGGTATTATTCACAACAAGTGCATTGTTCAGAAGTGGTTACCGGTCATGTTGCAGGTCCTCTGGTTGCTTTCGAAGTGGAACTGCCTTCTGGCCTGAGTGATGCACTCTGTCGCCTCCTTCTCCTGCATCTCCCTGATCATCTTCTGGGCATATTTACCCAGGAAGTACACTCCTGGGGATTGCCAATAAATAAATAGTGGTACCAACAAATATCTTCAACTGTCAAAAACACTTAGTCTGAATTATATGTAGCTGGAGCACCTGACTGTGACAGAGATCTCTGCTTTAGAATAGAAACTAATAACACTGCATACTTTTAGTATTGTACCTAAAGAATACAGTAACATAGTGTCTTCTTTTTTTTCATTGAGCCATTAATAATTTTTCACCGGGTAAATTTTCTGTGATTTCCGACGCAGAGTGAATGCTGCAGCTGTCACTTCTTGATTAACGATCAAAAATAATTAGGCAAACCGTAGTTTGTACAACGCCACGAGTCAAACCTAAACACCTGCCAATCAACAATTCAGTTACAGACCAGGCTGACTTGTCATGTTCCATCCTCGCCTTAGCGCTAAGTTAATATGCTAACAGTTAGCATCCGTGGTGCTCTCATCCGTTGGACACCACGCCAAACGTCATTCGGTATTCTGACCGTTTAAAAGAAACCGTGCGTATGTGCAAAGCATCAAACAAAGTTGAACACTATCCGTTTAGTGAATCGTGTCAAATAGTTTAACTCTGTATACAGCTATCACACATCATGGAGAGTTCGCAAATGTAACGTTTGCCGTGTTTCTTGTCATATCTTTTCCGATAAGACACAATTGTTCGATGGTCAAAAACAATGCAATTACATTGAAAATCCGCTATTTGATGGGGGTAATGGGTGCCGAATTATAAAACGCGTTAAAATATCTTAGCATATTAATTCAAATTGTTTAACGAAGTCCAGTGCACTGCTATAATCATAAATGTACAGTAACGTTGGCTAATAGAAACACTAGGTAGTTACCTCCAACTACAACTCCGGTGAAAATAATTTTCCTTTTGTGGCGTTTAACAAAATTCCAAGCAGACGAAAACATCATCGGAAAGTGAGTTGTTCGCACACACTAAAACTCCAAAAACACCCCGTAATTTTTATTTCATGGGCATGTTATTAGAAGACTTTCTATTATTTAGCAAGCCCCTGCTCCCACCATGCTAACTATCAAACAGGTAGGGAGAGAGGAGATCAATTGCGCATGTCTGGAAGTGGTCCGTTCAATATTATCTTCCCTTTGTCCTGCGTATGCGTGGTACATATAGCAAACAAGATAGTAATTAAATATGAACAAATAGCTCATAAACTGTCATGAAAATCAGGCTACTGTGAGTTTTATTTTAGTTAAGTAGTAGTAGCCGCAATGGGGCCAGAAAAAGAAAGTAAGGGTGCTTCAGGAGAGAACTTTTATCCGAGTGCTGTCGAAACTGATAAGTGGATGGCTGCCGCGTTTGACATGGTGGGTAAATAGTTTAATCAGCAAATGAATCAGTTAATCCAGATAGAATTATCCACATAACTTTGACATAGTCGATTCTTTTAACTACTACGCTGTTATGCAGTTATATTCGTGTTTTAAAAAAATGACCAGTCTAAAAATGATTTTCATACCACCTATAAAGTTGAGCCAATTTCTTGTGTAAAAGCAGTTGATACCTAACGTTAAAGTGCTTCATCATAATTTAACTGACAAATGCCTTTAGTCTTAAAATCTATGATGTTGAGAAATCAAGACACCGCTGCACACAGACAGTCAATAACCTAGACACCGTTAGTCATGTAAACAAAGACACACAGTAAATATCCAGGTTTCTCATGTTAAATGTCATATCCTGGATATGACCAAATCCAGGATAAGGCTCAAATCTGGGGTATTTATGTGAAGTTGTGCATAAAAGCATACCGTAGTGGCTTAATCCTTCTAAAATGTGTTCTCCTCTGTTGAACTGAGCTCTTCATGTGCACGTTCTGCCTTAATGTGTTTTTGCAGGCCAAAGATGCTCTGGAGAATGGAGAAGTTCCAGTTGGATGTCTGATGGTCTACAGTGATGAAGTCGTAGGAAAAGGACGGAATGAAGTCAATGAGACAAAAAATGTAGGTAAAATTAAGAATGTCCTGTTTGAAAAAAAAAATACTCCAGTTTTTCCTTGAGATTGAGTGCCATGCAAAAATCGATCATTTTACAAAACATTCGGAGCAGTGGTCAATGCAATTTCTTTTTTAAATTCATTATGTTAGTAAGAAACTCAAGCTTGTATAGTCACTAAACACACAGCAGCCGCCAGAGTCTTTTTACATTAACAGGCTATTTGGGGCAAGGCAGTTTTATGTATATTGAGCATTTAATTACAGGTAAAGTGCACATGTTTTATATTGAAGCTCCCTTCACTTTGCAAATTAAAGTTCCACTAATCAGTATTTCTAAATAGTACAGATATTTTATCCAGCTAAACCTTCACCTCTTAATTCTTGAATTTTCTAAGAAAGTTTGGTATTAGGCTTTCTGAAGCTCCAAGAGAACATGAGACCTTTCTCTGCATGTGCTGTGTGGTGTATTTCAGGCGACTCGCCATGCTGAGATGGTTGCTCTGGACCAGCTCCTGGACTGGTGTCGCCATAGGAACCTGGATGTGAGGAGTGTGTGCAAGCAGACCGCCCTGTATGTCACTGTGGAGCCGTGCATCATGTGTGCTGCAGCCCTACGCCTTCTTAGTATCCTCTCTGCCTGTGTGTGTGTGTGTGTGTGTGTGTGTTTGTGTGTCGAGTGTGTGAATATTGTTCCTTCACCGTGTTTCAGACATCCCAGTGGTCGGGTACGGCTGCAGGAACGACCGGTTTGGAGGCTGTGGGTCAGTTCTGGACATTTCGTCTGCAGACTTACCTCAGACTGGGATCGCATTCAAGGTCTACGCTGGTTCCTGGTGTCTTTCTGTGTTTGTCGAATTGCTATTTTTTAAATATGTGTGTGCATGTCTTGTCCTTGAAAAGTACTACAGTGTACTTAGTGTCTGTGGATGCTTTCAGTCTTGTAACGGACAACCTGCTCAGACGAGTGGAGGCTGCTGTATCAGCAGATTGGTGCTCGTGATTTTGGGGTCTCATGCTCAGCTACCACATATGGATATACAGTAATGTTTGGGCATCCACATACTTTTGGCCATGTAGTGTAAATGACAGTGTATCTTGTGTTTTCAGTGTGTTTCGGGTCACAGAGCAGAAGAAGCTGTAGAGATGCTGAAGACTTTCTACAAACAGGAGAATCCAAATGGTGAGAAATAGCCTCTTCTTTTTTCCTCTTGTCACTTAATATTCTTCTCTTTATTTTTTTTAAATCTTTCTCCTTTATTCTCCTTCTTTCATGTTTTCTTTTCTCATCTGTCCACATCTTATTTTTTCTCTTCTTGCATTTTATAATTTTTTAAAATGTTTTTCTATTCTTTTCTTCTATTTTCAGTCATTTTTTTTCTTTTTGTCTTCTTTGTTTTCTCCCCCCAACAGTTATATTTTCTGTCTGTTTCAGCCCCAAAACCCAAAACAAGGAAGGACTGAGTCACACCCATGGTAGATTTACTTTTTATAATACTTGTATTCTTGTTTGTTTGTTTTTGTAATGCAATAAATGATAATAAATCATTTTATTATGTTGTAAACAGACTTCTTTGAACCTTGGTTGCTTTTCCATCAGTCTGTCAGCAGGGGGAGGCAGTAGGTCACCTGATTTCTCCACCATACTGATTAGTCACACAGGAGAAGTGACACTTATCACTTTCAAGTGATACATTTTCTTTCTACAAAATTCAGCTTTTAGGAACTAAAACACACATTTTACATAATCATGGATAGATAAATGTGATCCTGCAGTTAGAATGAAACTGATCCAAGAAGTCCAAATATTTAGAAAGACGAAGGCAAATTATCAGTATGTGTCATGTTGCTGAATTTTAAGTAGTTTTTTTGTCAGCCACGTTTATTTTTGCTGTTCACAACAGTTCTGTTTGTTCCTAAGCTGTGAATGTAAAACCCACCACTTCCTGTGGTATTTCTCAGAGAGGCAAAAGTGTGAGAAATGGTGAGGAAGAGTGTGTGTGTGTGTGTGTGTGTATCTAGCAGCGCTTCTCTGCAGAAGTGACCTTCGCACTGTTCATGTAACGTGCTGAGACACCTTTCACTTCCTCTCAGACACACATGTACTGTGGCCTGTGTGTGTGCATGGGTTTGCAGTATTTGCAGCTGGGAGGAATTGAAAGAACTAAATGTGTGTGTCTGTGTGAGTGCTGCTGGGTGTCGGTGCTGGGTGTGTACTTCAGGCGTCCTGCAGTTTTTTCCTCCTCCCACCGAATCCAACGAAGCCACTGAGAGGTTTTCAGACTGCTGCGCTTTGTCTTGCTCACGCCACCTTTCTTTTTTCTGTTTGTCTTGCTTTTCACCACCTCCTCTCTACTTCCTTCCTCCCACACTTCCTTCCTTTTTAGCAGCTGACTTCCTTTTCCTCCCCTACTTCCTTCCTGTCTTTCCTTTCATTCTCACTTTCTCTTTCTTTCCTTCTAGTTTTTAATTTATAACTTTCTTCCCTGCTTGCTTCATTTCATTCTTTTAGTCTTTCCCTTCCTTTCCCCCTCTTCATTCCCTTTGTTTTACACTTTTGTTTTCCTCCTTTAGTTTGTTTTACAACTTTCCTCCCTCCCCACTGCCTCCTTTCACCCCTTTCTGCTGGTTTTTCTGTATTTTTCTTCCTCATCCCTGTCTTCTTGCATCATTGTTTTTATTTTACAATGTCCCTCTGATTTCTTCCCACCTTGCTTTTTTCCTCTCCTTCCATTTTTGTCTTTAATGGTTCATATCACCGTTTCTTTCTTTCACCCATTTTCTACATCATTTTTCCTACTTTCATTTCTCCCATTTCCATCTTTCAGTTGTCCATCTGTGCTTCAGCACTTTCAATTTGAAATAAATCACACATACTATGTTAAAGTTGTGACCACCTGCTTGTTTAAAACATACACAAATAAACAAGGCGACGTGTGTTAAAATGGCTAATTTACAGTTCTTTCTAGATCGATGTAAACCTGCTCAAATTAAAGCTGAGACTTTGTGCTTTAACGTTAGATCCATGACTTTATTTGACTGTGTGCACAGAAATGTGTAACTGTCCAAATTATTATGATCTGGACTGGACATCAGAAATAACGGTGTGTTTTTCTAAAACAAGTGCTGGGATCCATGTCCATGTTGCTCATTAGCATGTAAATCCATGCTAATTAATGCAGTGCAGAATATTACTGAATGTTTTAAAGTGTCACCTCAGACTGGAGTTGACGTGTTAATGAAGAGATGCCACACACACCCACAGAGCGGTGCAGAGTTAGCTGCTAATGAACAGTGTGTTGTGTCAAACTCTCCAAATTGACAGTGAGAGGAGTGGACACACACACTCACACACACACACACACACGTTTTTCACCCAAGTTTTTAAAAAAATAGTGTAATATGAGATGTCATGTTGTGTAACGTTGAGAGAACAACATTTTCTGCAGCAAACAAAGGAGTTTATTTTGTATTATTTCACTGCCAAATGACCTGAGAGAAGAGAGGAGGGGCATTTGTTTTTGTTCAAGGAAGAACCAGACGGGAGAGTTTGTGTTGACAGGAAGAGTTACTTTAATATGTTTTGGGATTCCATTCTGTTAACCTCTATGGTAAAAATTGCTGGTTCCACCCTTCAGCTTATGCTTTCTCACTTTCTGTCCTGCCTTCCTTTAACTCAGTCACTGCATCTTTTCTTATGGTTTTTCTTTGTGTTTTGGCCCCTTTTCTTTGTTACGTCTTTCCAGCCTTGAAAAATGCATTGTTAGTTTTATCTTTTGCGTTTTTCTTGTTCATTCAGTTCCTCTGTCAGTGAGTGAGGCTGCATTTTGTTTCTACATCCACAGGTGCATTTTGCAGAATTGCTGTGTTTTTACACTACCTGGCACTTTTTGTCTGTAAATCCAGTGTTGTCTTCTTCCTGTTGTTTGCACAGAACAGCAACTAACTCATTATTGATAGGAACAGATGCTATGTGCAGAGAAAATACTACACGGTGCTAATTCTAGCACAAACAGGACACAAATCTGAGACGTGACATGTCAGGGCTAACATGTTGAAGAAAGCACCACAGTAGGAGCTAGTCAGCCCATTTGTTTTCACTTCTGAGGCCTTTTCTTTTTAGTTTTGCAGTTTATACTGAGTCAGTAGCCACTGAGCTTGTTGCATGTTTAAATACCTTCAATTATATGGATAAAATATACTTTAATGTGACCATTATAACATTGAGTCTTTCTGAAAGTGAATGATTTCCCATGCTGTTTTCTGACTGTATCAGACTATATATTCATGTGAGCTCAGGCCGCAGCATGAGGGCGAATCTTGAGTCACCTGCTCTAAATGAGGCAGCGGTGACATCTCGTAAATGTGTCACGCTCACAAGGTGCAGTGTGTCTGACCAGATGCCATCAGATTCTGTCACATCCAATTAAAACTGTCATACACCTGAGACCCACTGTAACTCAGGCGGAGCCAGTGTGGACCTGGATCCTCAGGCTGGTCCGAAGATCTCATTCAGGATCCGAATGGAAACATTTCCACTCAAACTTTATTGATTTTTATCAACATCTAGTGTTCATGTAGACATGCAAGAGATCGTGAATATTGATGTTCAACACATTATTGCTGCTCAGTAGTTTCATAGCAGCTCACTTTGATAAGTTACAGAAAAGCAGATCACAAATACAGTTTGTATGTGTGCTTCTGTCCCTGAATGCATACTTACATAGTCGTGTGTGTGTACAGTATTTCAGTGCGCATGTTCATTGTTTTGTGTAGATGCATGTTTGTGCATTTCATCAACTTTTCTCCACAAAGCTGGATGCATCAAAGTTGCTTAATTTTTGCCACCGAAAAACAAAACCAAAAAAGGAGAAAAAAAAAACACAAGAGATGTCGACTCCAACTCTCCATCTGTTGCCAGTTTCTCTACTTACTTTTAACTGATGATATTTTGTCCTTTCCTATGGTTATTGTTATGAATACAGTTCAAAGGTAATGGTGTTTTCCACATCCAGAGAGGTCACTTGTTTTCCTTTCTTGTGCTGTCCTGGGTGGGTGGGGCACAACTCATCCTGGTTTATCCGACCAAAGCCAATACTCATGTATTGTTCCCATACAACTGAGAAAGGATCACTCACCTTTGATCTTTCCTGGAAGAAATAAACAGAGACGCGACAGGAGAGTGAACTTTGTAACGTCAGCAGACTGTGAAGGTGTGTGTGTGGGAATAAAACTATAGACACTAAGGCTTCTTGTCTACAAAATCACACAGATTTCCTGTCTCTGGTGTGAGTGGGTGGGTGGAGTGCTACCTGCCAACTTGCTGAGCAGATAGAGGAGACAGAGAGAGAGAGAGTGTCTGTTTGTGTGTGTCTCTGTTTGTAAGCATGTGACCAACGCTTTCTGCATTTTGTGACTTTTCAGGATGAAGAAAATAGACAACCTCAGCATCTGAAATGGGACTAAATGTCTTGTAAAGTTGCATGTAGACTTTCCTTGGCTGAATATTCAACCGTAAAGTTTTTTTTTGCTGCATGTGTTGTGTACCTGTGTGTGAGTGATCCCAGATGTAGCTGTTGAGGATTTCTCCAAGAACATAGAAGACACAGATCAGCACCATCATTGCACTGAAGAAGATGACTCGAGCCAGTGGAGCAATGCGCTCCAGAACTGGGTACACCCACACGCCCGTCACCTGGTGCACCCAACACGTCCTGGGCAGGCAGGGCCACAGACAGTAAAAGTTAGGCCACGTCTGGGACTATGATTACTAGTAAAGGTCAAACCATTTGTGTCACAGGATCATACTCAGATTAATGGAAACAGACAAAACCTCAACTGGACAGGGCTAATTTAAAACAGACTTCAACTAAATTAAGTCAAAACTCATATAAACCTAAACTAAACCCATTATAAATCTGTCACTTACTTTATGTACTTAACTATAAACTGAATGTAGGCTGTATGCTATTTATGGGTGAGACATATGTTACCAAAGGATGTATCCTATGCCCAAGCAGCAAACTCCTGCCAGACCCCAAGACCTGCTGGGATACCGATGGTGGGTGGTCCGCATCTCGATGATGATGAAGGGAAGAACGGTGGTGTGCTGAGAGAAAGAAAGGCAAGACAGAGAGGGTGGTGGTCAAAGAGAGTAAATAAAGTCAAAGTCAAAATGTTTATTGTTTTATGCACAGTAAGGCAATATGTTTCCCTGCACAATGAAATGTAGCATTCTGTGTTTGGTGTATACATATGAACCCAGGCCATAGGTCACAAAAACAAAACATCTATTTTTGAACTTGGATTTTGAGATTGGATTGGATTTTTGTTTATTTCAGATGTCAGGGCGACAGGTCTGCAGTCATTCAGTTCCCTGGTGGAGGATTTATATTCTAATCTAAATTGGACTGGTCCACACAGACACCCCTCTTTGTTCAGGTCTTTTGGTTCGTTCCAGCGGGGAGAGCGCCTCTTACAGCAGCGGCTGTTGAAGTCCATTAGATACGTAAATGTCAGTGTGCTAACTGCAGTATAAAGCATGAATAGCCACTTTGAGCTCACGCCATGACAACGGTATAATTTGAAAAGCTGTAAATTACCAGGAACAACAGAATTTCCGTCTTTAAAGCTCTTCAAGTGGTAAACATTAGTGTTAGCTTGTTGTCTTTGCTTTACCGTTAGCTAGCTTATTAGCGACTTAAGTTGTTTTTGTGAAACAAAATAAACACTACAAAACCGGAGATGGACAAAATAAAGATTTTTGTAAGATTCAGTACTTAAATAGTGTAAGTAAAAAAGTATATGTTAGCTACATGACGAGAACTTTCTTTACAAACCTTATATTAATCCACAATGTTTGCTAATGTTAGCTAATCTGCCATTAACATATCCCGAGAAGAAAGCCTCTATACCAATTTTTGCTTGTTCAGTATTCCTATTAAATACAATACTGGGCAGTAAATAAGTAAAGTGTTAATAATTCATGTATAATTTAAATATACTGTACATAGTTCCTGATAGAAATGGTTTGATGATAAACTTAGAGGCTAAACAGATAACGATGGTTACGTTCAGTAACCCAAGCTTCTATTTCGTATAGGCTTCGCCCTGTAAGAGCCTCGGCTATTGGGTTCACCCATCGCGCATGCGCAGTCTTGAAGAGATTCTTTCGCGTCCTGTGCCCTGCACTGTCCCCAAACAGGTCCGCTGCGATCGCATAAGTGCCACCGTGACCTGCGAGCACCTTTCTATTTTTTTCCGGCAGTCCACGAAGAAACATCATGGGTAAGTATATTCCCTGTCATGGCGAAAGCATCTCTTCAGGACTGCGCATGCGCGAGGGGTGAACCCAATAGCGACAGCTCTTAGAGGGCGAAGCCTATACGAAATACAATTAGTGGTTGAATGTAAACATAATCAGATGCAGTTATCAATAGCTTTACATGATAACTTTGTTTTTAAATGTCATGTTTTATTTTAATAGGAACACAAAAAGCAGGAGAGCAGACACAGAAGGAGACTCTGATGCAGCCGTTGGATCTCAGGTAAGATCTTAATGTGGCTTAGTTATGATATCCAACAGTGAAAAGGTATGAAGATTTTTGTTTGAGGCTACTGCGTCTTCATTAGGTGTCATTTTATCAGCAGCAGGAACAGCCAAGCAGTCAGTTAGGGACAGGGGACACAGCAGCTTCTGCCACTGGAGGTAGGCTTCTTTGAGAATGTGTTTCTGTTGTTTACTGTACTTAGTGTGAGTTCCAAAGACAGATTGGTAATAGACATTTACATTGTTTACATCTGTAAAAATAAAGACACCACCACTTAAAACCTGCATTTATTGCTTTTTAAAATAATCTGAGAATCTGTGTAAGTCCGTTATCTAATTACAGATCTTGTTAAAATGTGTAGCTGTATAGGTTTTCATTAGAGACAATAGACTGAAAAAGTGTGCAGGGCCTTTTAGGCTTTGCCTCTTAAATTAGTATGAAGGTTTTAAACTTTTTATGATGATGGAATTGTGAAATTGTGCCCCCTCAAAAAATCTGAATGCCTGCCACTCCTGGACTTCAGTCACACAAGGAGAATTAAAGCAAACGGCCTGCACCTGACCACAGTTTGGATCCGCAGCAAAGGCTCAGAAGACTTTGAACAATGAGAGATTTCAGTCAACATTCCTAAAAGCATCCATTTAAAAATTTACAACACATAATGTTTGCAACAAATAAAGGGGTCTGAATACTTTATGCAGCAACTGTAGATTCAAGGTTGACTACACATAATTGTCGGTACTGGAAAGTCTGATATATCCATCTGTCATTCTGTTATAATGTAACAGCTAAATGAACAAAATAATAGAAAACAAAGGTGGAAAGGTGTGACCCATTATCTTTTTTAATGTTTTATTTTGAACCAATTTGCCTATGGCTTTTCTGCTGCCAAGTGAACTACTCTGTTTGCCCACTAGGGGGAACTCACAAAATACTTACGCACACCAATACAGACACACAGGACAGCTGTAATTGCCTCAGCAGAGTTGAGACCTCTCTCTTACCTCATTTGCACTCTCAGGAGCACAGCTGTAGATTAGTGTGTGTGTCAGACAGTTCACCCTCTGCAAAGTCAGACTGCTGAGCTCTGTCTTTGGGCTTTGTCTCTGGCAGTCGAGGTGGTCGGCCTCACTAAGCTAGGTTAGAGAAACACCAACTGGGATTCTTCTGTCTGTTAATTATTCCCACACTGATGGCTAGAAGTGATAATGACTGTCTGGTTTGATGCTCAGGGTGACAGTGGGTGTAAACGTAGCTGAAGGGCAGGTTTGCTTTATTATTGCTTTAATTTTAAAAAGTCTGCTTGGAACACTTTTTTTTAAGAAATATGCACTTTAAATGTTGATTACACCTATCGGCCAATGTTAGTTTACAGCTGATACACTTTATTAATATCTGTGTATCGCTGCCTGATGTGTGAAAAGAAATGTCAGGACAGAAATGCCAAATTATTAGGTATTGAAAGTATCTCAATAAAACATCTCTCCATTAGAATCTAGATTTATAAGATGTAAAATGTGCAGTACAGATTATGGTCTTTTTTTTTTTTACTAAACAAGAAATCCCAATTAAAATGTCAAGCGTTTATATGCAAAAATGATGTCCATTGTAATATTTGCAGAATTGATATTGGGCTTGAAATCCAGCTGAGCTGTTGCAACCGTCATCACAAGTTCAAAACTGGTTCAGTTTAAAATATCTAATTCAGTGCAGGAAAATTAACATAAAAATTAATCTTCAAAACACCAGTAGCAACTCTAAAGTCAGTACCTCGAAAAATACAGTGCTGCCATTTAAAAGGATTCAGCCGTCACCACCAATACATCAGCTTTTAGTTTGACAGTGCCAGTATTTGATTGTTAAATTGACCATACATTAAAACATGTCATGAAAACCTTTGGTAATTTTACTATTGGTTGTTAGAAAGATTGTCAGTGATTATACTGCTTCTTTCTCTGTAAGTCGTTAATTGCCTTAAAAGGTGACAATAAAACAAGTTCTCACAACCGCACAGCAATGGAATCTGACACAGTGATAACAATGAACACAGAGCACAGAGGCGATGAAGGGTGAATGCAAATGCTGGTCTCAGGTTTGTGAGTGTGTGTCTGTGTTTGTGTGAATGTATTCACCAGATGTGATCCTTGGTTTGTGTGTGTGTGTAACAGGTCAATGGCGTCAGAGCCGGTGTGAGACTATAATGCCCTGTTGCTAGGAGAAACCTGCCTGTGTGTCTGTCGGTTAATGGACAACACACACCTCACAAACTGAAACACACATGCTGGTGACACTGGTTTGGCTTGCATTCACTCAGCGGAGGCTGGCTCCTTGGGGGGATGGGATGATAACTCAGTTAAGTATGCAGCTGAAAAAATACAATGGCTAAAGTTGGGTAGTGTTTGAGTAGTGTTGTTTTCTTAGCAACCAACATTGAACAGAAACAAAGCCCCTGATTGCCATAACTTACAATGGTGGATGCAATGTGGAAAGATGTAAATACTTTTTCTCTGTTGTTCAAAGGGGCTTAGTTTTTATTACATAAACCACTCATAAGTAATTTTACATGTCAAAAACCTATCTGAGTACACTACCAGTCAAAGGTTTGTGGTCACCTCCGTTTTTCCAGTGGTTATTATGACATGTACATGTCCAGTGGATACGCTTAAATGGCACAAAGCTAGAAGTGAACTGCCAAAGGTGTTTAAAAAAAAAAAAGATGCCAACAGTTCCTACAGGTCCCGACTGCTGCTGACTGACAAAAACAGATTCTGTCTGCACAAAGGCAGACTTGGAACAGACTGTGTCACTGCATCCTCTGGAGCATCATTTGGAAAAAGGCCACGGACACAGGGAGTCAGAGCTTCTTAGTGTTTCATCCTGTAGCAGGAGAATGAGCCACAAACAGCTCCAGGCTGTGGAGGAGCACTGAACAGTGATGGACCGACAGCACAGGGTCCAGACTTTCCAGGTGAAGCGTGAAAGCAAAGCAACCTACAGGTGCAGCACATCTGTGGGAACATCTGCAGCAGCGCTGTCTGATCTCAGCAGTAGAGAGAGTGACAGGTGTGTTCACCTGTTGGATCACATTGACAACTACTGGAAACATGGAGGTGACCTAAAACATTTGAGTAGTGTAATTACCATTAAACAGATTGGAGTAGTTCAATAACACATCTGCAGTCAATCTTACACTTGTCCACCATACTGGCAGGACTTCTGGACACATGATTAAAATCTTTTTCTCTCACAGGCTCTCCATTATTTGATCCCTCCCCTCCTCCAGAGGGAAGGGCCACATGGTTGCCGTGGCAACCACTATAAACAAACAATAGCGATACCATGGAATACCGCAAAATATTTACAACCGCTAGACACACACACACTCCCATTTTCTGTCGCACCCACACAACCCAGTGGTGTTATGGTTGTTTTGGTCCTTGGCAACAGCGCCATAACAGCCGCTCAGCAATTACATCAACGCCTGGAGTACAAGAAGAGACACAAAGCAAACACACTGTCATGCTGTCTTTGTGTCATTTAGCTTCAGAAGTAGTGTTATGGAAGTGATCATGTTTTCACACAAAGCACACACCACCTACTCTCACGCTGCTCCTTGAACGTGCTCTGCCAGGAGGAAGTCTGATGAGAGGGTTTTGCATGTTACAGTCAGTGCTGGAGACTGCAGATTATCACACTGGCTGATTGGAGCACACACAGCTGACTGTGTTATCAGTCAGGCGACATGGTGCACAGCGTGTTAGCCCACGTCTAAACGTTCGATTAAACCCGCTTCCTCTATGCAGCAAATCAAAGCAAACCACCTGCCAGCAGCTCTGTTCAAATTCAGAGCTTCACCAGCACCAACTCTGACCACTGATAAGATTTATCAAGTACTTTACAGAGTTAGGATCCACTGATATGAGTAGTGATCCGAGCAGGACTCACTTGACATGTAGAACCCATCAATCAATCACGCAATTTAGTACCACTGATCTAGCAGCAGGATCCAGGTCCTGAGTAGTCCTACCCCTGACCAACAAAAACTGTACTGGTAAAAACATACATGTATATGTTCATTTACTGGTACAGGTGGATGCAGGCAACCCACAAGTCAGAAACTGGAGAACAAACAGAGAAGTGAGATGAAAATCTCACATTTTAAGGCTGCACTTGTTTTCCAAGTACACGATGTCTTGAACATGATGTATATGGAAGCTTTGCTGAATGCAATCTGCAATGTTGCCACTAGATGTCACTAAATCCCCCACACTGCACCTTTACATTACAGTTAATTATAGTAAGATAAGATAATCCTATATTGTCGTTGTAACATGTACAACGAAATTTTAGAGTGACCTCCAGTCGGTACATCAATAGAAAAAAAACCCATAACATATGAAATAAGACCATATAAAAAAACTTAACCGTGAGAAAAACGAAATAAACAACAGACCTCTGTGTTCCTCCAGTCAGTGTTTTGTTTGGTGGTTTGTGTACATGCTGTTTTCCAGATTGTGTAATAATTATATGCTATGCAGTGACTAGTTTGCCATGACAATAAGTCAGTTAGGTGGTTACGTCCATGAAGAAGACATCTCTGCTGAAACCACCCTCTGTTTCTTGTTCACTGGCCAGTAATTCAAAGTTAAACCAAATGAATCAACAACATCAGTAGAGAAGAATCCACTCACCATGCCGTGGTTGAGCCACTGAGGAATGAAGCTGTCCAGTAGTTTGGGGTAGACCAGTTCTCTGTCGTACAGGTAGAGAGTCCAGAACGTAAAGACCACAAACTTAAGGGAGACAGAAAGAAAAGAGAAAACAGACAGTTAGCAAACATGTATCGATGCCAAGCAGCTGCACACAAACACTGAAACCAAGTACAACAACACTATGGAATTTTGTTGGCTACTAAACTTCTGCTCTGCTGTTCAGTCAGTGATAACCCTCACATCCACTCCTCACATTTTATTACTGTGTCAGGGGTATTTTCTCTTTCTTTTACTTGTTGTAGCCTCCTGTGTGGGAGTGTGTCTTTGGCTCCTTCTTAAAACTCAGTCAACTCCTGCCAGGACATCGGTGGCCCAAAGTAAAAGGAGAATCTGTCCTAACAATATCTTGGTCTAATATTTCTCCGGCAGATGGTTTGAACCCGGGCCAGACCACGTTCTGCAGGATGGGGGTGGAATTACCTGACCGTCATCTAGATTCCAATTCAAGGTATCTGAACCATCCCCCTATTGTTCCATGACCGGCATGTGCTCTGCTTTCTACACACAAATACACACCTTGTCTGTCACATATACACACAGACTAAAGTAGATGCCCATATGGATGTGCACACACATATACACTTGTAATATATGCACCTGCACTCTCATATATTTCTGCGACACATAGGAGCAGAGCTACATGCATATGCAGACACACACACACACTCACTTCCCATCAGTGAGGCTGCGTTTCCACACATTAACTCTGCTGATAATCATGTCTATTGCACTGTGTTAAGTGAACCCTGTGTCCAGCTCACAGCACAGTGCCTGCTGATGGCTTCTGCAGGTGTGTGTGTGTGTGTGTCTAACTGGTACTCAGGTTGCTTAGGGCAGTTAGCTATCAACTGTGTGTGTGGCTAACGTATGCATATTCATGACCGTGTGTGTGTCAAAACCTATGCTTGTGATCAGACAGGCTCCTCGATGTGGCAGCTACAGGGCACCTTGCCAACTGGAATGTTGAATAAAAGTGTTTGTGTGTCTGTGTTAATGAGAGTGAGAGAGGCAGAACCATGTGAGTGGAGTCTGCCAGCGTAGTGAGCACAGCCTGAGGATCAGACAGGGGTCACCGCCTAGCTGTCTGAAGCAACAGACACTTGTTCCCTCTGTTCTGTTTATTCACAGCTAGATTTAACTGAACTCAGCTGGTGTTAGCTGCTGCACTCGCAAGTCGACAGTGGGGATAGTTTTTGTCCTCAGTGGTGTCTCCTTAGCAGCAAGTATTGAAACTGTTCCTAAAGTTGATGCTTTAGTCAGATTTGTTCTCTGTGGTTCTGAGTGATTCTACAGAGACATAAACGGAAAAGATTTATTGTTGAAGCTGCTGGGGTAGAATTTTTATGTTGATCAATTTGCAGATTTTTATTAGATGTTACTTTGTTCTGTTGGGGTACATTCTACAAAGAGTTAACTAATATTACTGCTAACAACAGTCTAGAAAAAAATATATGAAACCTTTGTAAAATTAAGGCTTTTAACTCAGCAAATGACTGTTTTAAAGAAACTGAAATCAAGTTTTAAAGATCTGCGCATGTCTTGTATTTAGATCCACAATTTGGGATTTATACTAGAAATGTTTTAAAAATAATTCATTTTAATTTTCCTAGAGGCCAACCCTCAACACTGTTATACTTTTACACCACTCCATCTCCCAGATCAACCATGTGAACTTGAAAAAATCTCACCAAGGTCTAAATGTACTGTAATATAAACAGGGGGAAGAATTTTTAAATCTGCCATTTGACACAACAAACCCCTGTGACTCATAGTTTGTAGAAACCTGTTGTCCCCATCCTTCAGGGGAGAAAGACAGGGTAAAAAAAGGAAGGAATGCAGGCTGCAAACCTGCTGATCCTTCCCTGGGCTATTGTGTGTCTCGTGTGTGTTTTTGGTATGCATCTGTCGGCTCACCGCTCCGACAGGAAAGGCCAGGATGGCCATCATCCAGTCCCTCAGGCTAATCAGCTTCCTGAGCTGCCGCTCCTGCTCCCTGCTGGCACCTCCCTTAGTCAGCAGACTGGACACATCGATCAGGACGCACAGTCCAAAAAACACCGCCTGGATCACCTGCAGAGAGACATCAGCAACCAAACAGAGAGGACAATAATATAAAAGAGATGGACAGAGAAAGAAAGCAAGCAAGAACAACTCAGTACATTTTCCAAAAAGAGGAAGAGCTCAGAGAAGAAGAGAGAGAGGATGAGAGAAGTGGCAAGTGGCAACCAGACAAAGCAAGAACAGGGCAGCTGCACTTTTTTGGTGCTCCCGTTTCTTCATAACCTGCCTCACATACCTTTCCATCAATCAGTCATTTCTACATCACCCCCAAAGTCATTTCCTTAAAAGACGAGGCTAGAAACACTGACTTTAATTTCAGTGAGCATGCACAACAAAATCAAGTCCATCTGTAGAACCAATGTGTTACACAAACATGACCACTGGAGTGTGTTTGAGGTCTGGGTTTATCTCATCACAAGCAGCCAATGCACAGACTGTATGGACATTTGCTTCAGATTCTAGGACAAACCAACATGGTGTCTCAGTGAGGTGCTGGGCCACCACGTGCCACCAGAACACCCTCAGTGCACCTTGGCATTGACTCTCCAAGTCTCTGAACTTTACTCAAGGGATGAATACCATTCTTCCAACAGATATGTACTCTGGTTTCCCTATGTAGTGGTGAAACCTTCTGATGTTGACACTGGTGGTGCTGTTTCAGTACTCCAGAGGGCACCATGGGCACAGGGCTCCTGTTTTCTTCTGCAGTTTTACTTTCCTTAGCCACAAGGGGGCGTTTTTTTTTTTTTTTTTTACCAGTCCCACAGAGGCAGAGGAGTCATAGCAGGGCCACAAACCAGGCTCCTTGTCTTTCTGGCTCCTGTTGCTATGGTCATGACTTGCTATGCTAACATTAGCTGGTCGACCTACTGAAGACGTTCCCATGGGGGTGAGAGTCTACATTTAATGACAGAGGAAACTCCCTGTGACAAGGTCAAGCACATCTTTAGCTGTGCTGTTAGTGGTGATGGATTTAGCTGTAGGGGGGAGATGGTGAGCAGACAGGCGGGTGGTGCCCAGCATAAATGTGCTGCAGGTCAACACATGAAGTAATTTTCGGCTGTATTTCAATAAAACTGCATGGTTTATATCAACATGCACCATAAATACACAAATTTGAAATGTTTAAATTCAGACAGAGCTGCAGGGCATTAAGTGAACCATTGTGAGAGAGAAACCAGCTCTCTACTTTAGTCTCCATTTGGGTGTAATGAAACACTCCCATCAATATGTTCACAGTGATGGATGTGAACTGCTTCTCCAAAGAAAGATGGCATGGATGCACACCCCATCTTTCCTCCTCGGCCCTCCTCTCCCTCTGGGAGTATCCAGTGTCGCCCGGTGGGTGAAGGGATGGCTGGACCTCCGTGGCACTTTGACTTTCAAGCTATCCGATGCCAATTCACATACAGTGATGTGTTTGTGGACGTATATCATTCTGTTGTCTGAACAGGATGATATACTGTTGGTACTGTACTGTGCGTTGCTTGTTACCCTTTTGTATGTCTGTGTGCGTCTAATTTATATTGATGACAGTACAAAACCTAGGCCACTACCATGTCTAACATAGCTTGTCTGCTCAGCTAGCGGTGAGGTTCTGAGCAGGAACAACACACTCTGCTTCTTTTCTCAACTCACACACAGTCATTTGTGAAATGGATCTAAAAAGCAATCATGACTCCACACCAATATGTAGGGTTTCATGTTACTTACACACATACACACACACACAATGATTACGAGCCAGATGTTGTCGTGGTGTGCATTTCCTGGCTGCTGTTGTGTACAGATCATTAAAAGCACTGTTAACTAGGAGGAGAGGTCTAATGTGGAAAATATGACACAGTTACTTCTCTCTCTCACACACACACACACGATTATTTTGTCTTTAAACAGGCCTTAACTGAACCACTGCTACAAAAACTGTAGTGGTGTTTCTTATGTCTACATCCCTATAACTGCCTTGTCTCCTCCCAAAAATGTATTTTGTCCATTGTCCCAACAACAACGTGCATCTTAAAGCAGTGTGGTAAAATTCACATTTTGAAGGTCTCAGTGTCGAGCTTTGGTAAACCAAAAAGAAAAGCAAAGGTTAAAATACCAACCAACCAAGGTTGGTATTTTAAGGTTGGTGGTTGGTTCAGGTTGGTGGAGAGTTCCTGCCTCAAGTGGAGGAGTTCAAGTATCTTGGGATCTTGTTCACGAGTGAGGGAAGGTTGGAACGGGAGATTGACAGGCGGATCGGTGCAGCTTCTGCAGTAATGCGGTCAATGTACAGTGGGTACGGAAAGTATTTCAGACCCCCTTAAATATTTCACTCTTTGTTATATTGCAGCCATATGCTAAAATCATTTAAGTTCATTTTTTTCCTCATTAATGTACACACAGCACCCCATACTGACAGAAAAACACAGAATTTTTGACATTTTTGCAGAGTTATTAAAAAAGAAAAACTGAAATATCACATGGTCATAAGTATTCAGACCCTTTGCTCAGTATTTAGTAGAAGCCCCCTTTTGAGCTAATACAGCCATGAGTCTTTTTGGGAATGATGCAACAAGTTTTTCACACCTGCATTTGGGGATCCTCTGCCATTCCCCCTTGCAGATCCTCTCCAGTTCTGTCAGGTTGGATGGTAAACGTTGGTGGACAGCCATTTTCAGGTCTCTCCAGAGATGCTCAATTGGGTTTAAGTCAGGGCTCTGGCTGGGCCATTCAAGAACAGTCACGGAGTTGTTGTGAAGCCACTCCTTCGTTATTTTAGCTGCGTGCTTAGGGTCATTGTCTTGTTGGAAGGTGAACCTTCGGCCCAGTCTGAGGTCCTGAGCACTCTGGAGAAGGTTTTCATCCAGGATATCCCTGTACGTGGCCGCATTCATCCTTCCCTCGATTGCATTAATGAATTGATTGAATTAAGGCCAAAAAGTTCTATCTTGGTCTCATCAGACCAGAGAATCTTATTTCTCACCATCTTGGAGTCCTTCAGGTGTTTTTGAGCAAACTCCATGCAGGCTTTCATGTGTCTTGCACTGAGGAGAGGCTTCCGTCGGGCCACTCTGCCATAAAGCCCCGACTGGTGGAGGTCTGCAGTGATGGTTGACTTTCTACAACTTTCTCCCATCTCCCAACTGCATCTCTGGAGCTCAGCCACAGTCAT